TTGCCAAGCTCATACATCCTTTGACTTCAAGGATTCTAATGCCATTAGTATAAAGTCTCTAGGGAGAATCTTTCTATGGATAAATTATTGCCACTAATGTAGCTGTCCCTGATGCTGAGCTGTTACTCAGAATTATTACAGTAAGAGCCTTTGAGTATTCCAAAAGGAGTATAATAGTCTGGACACACTCTCATAATCCAAGAATCTTCCAATGCAGTGGAACATAAGCACTGACATGTAAGGAGATGTTATAGGAACAATATTTAGAGGGCTGTTGTTGTCTGCCTCATAGACTCCTGTCTCCTGGATATATTAAAACATTAAGTAGTTGGGGCTTATTAAAAATAATGTATTGTCACCCCCACGCCAGTACTCTTCTGTTATTGCCTAGGTCAGATATTTTATTTCCCATCTGTCTTTTTCATGTTTCACTTGACTATAAGTTTATTGATATTTATCTATTTATGCCATATTTCATCAGTACATAACCAATACTTGAGACTTACCCAAAATTGGGATCACTGCCAGTTCCCTGCTATACATAGGGAATTAAACCTAGGTTTTTATTTTATTTTTCTCTTTCCCTTAGGAATATTATCAATATATTATCAAAAAATCACAGTCACAAACTACATAACACTACTATTGAAGGTTAATAACATTCAAATATCTCTTTTTATATTTTAGCTACATGTTATTTCCATTCATAATTATTCTGTATGCTGTGTATCTAATTACTGGTTTAGCATTACAGGTTTTATCAATACATTTGTTATTATCACTGTTTGGAAAAAAAATGAAAGCTGAAAGTATATATTTGGAACTGGAATATGACACAGATCTGCTATTTTTATGTGTATCAGGAGTATAAAAATGCTATTAAAAAAAGAAGAATTTTGCATTAAAAAAGAGAAATAATGACTGACACTATTGTATTTGAAATTTGCTGGTTTTATGAGTAAGAAAAGTGAAAAGTTTAGTGGAATTCCACAATGGATAAGTTTTAGTACATGGTCATAATCTTGAAGAACATCAAGAACTGATTCACATAGTAAAAGCAGGATAAAAACTCCTGAGTGGAATGATTGTCACTAGCATTGTGTTACAATTGCATGAATCCTTTCTTAAGACTATAGTTGAGTGCAAAGAAGACATTACCTACTTTGCATTTTGTGACAACATTGACTGGAAAGATTACTACTACCAAGGGCAGTAAGACTGCCAAAAGAAGCCGATTTTTTAGACTAGAATAATTGTGAAAGACCTTGATCTATAACTTGAGGTGAGAAACAGTGTAGTTTACATAGAATTACACCAATCTCCATCAGCTTTCAGATGCAGATCTCAGACTGAAAGCCCAGAGAACAGAAGTTGTAATACGGAGCTAGAGACAAAAGTCAAAAGATTAAGTAAAGATAAAAGGCCAAGGGAACAGATATTATAAGAGTTTAATGCAAAATCACGACCAGCAGAGAATCAAAATGATATACTGTGCCAATAGACATATATATGATGAATGTAAATGTACGTGGAAATGAGTGAATTTCCAGGAACCAGTAACAAGAAAGGCAAATTGGGCAAAAAAAAAATTGATGTCATTGTGATTTCCTTAAAATAATAAGAATGACCTCAATTTTGATGAAATTACATCCAATCCAATTCAATAATTCCAATATTAAAGTAAATTCAGAAAACATATTTTTTTAAAACTGCTGCAAATTTTGACTAAATGAAAATGTAGCTGCCATGTACATTTGACAAGAGAAATATCTTTTGGTTTAATGGAATCTAATGTCCAAGGTAAAGGTGAGAAGAAATCATCTTTAATATGTGGACTAAGTTTGTTATAAAGTATTTGAACAAGATAAATGATTTGGGAAGATGATAACCAGGCAGAAGAAATTAAACTTGAAGTATCTCAAATGAAGTAATTACAATGTGAACTATAGCAGAAGCATGCATTTAACAATATATTCCTGTAGTGGATAAAAAGAAAGTCACTGAAACTTGCAATGAAGTTCTTATAAAACAAGTATACACACAGATATATAAACATACGCACAACTCGATGTGTGTGTACAGTTTCTCTCAAATATATATTTATATATACATGCACACACATAAATATGTATATATACATACATGCATATATATATTTATATATGTTTGTAAGCATATATGTGTGGGTGCATGTGTATGTATATATATGGGGAACGCAAATACATACATATGAGTGTGTGTTTGTATACAAATTTGTAATTGTAAAAATTGTATACACATTTGTATACAAATACACACATACATACATACATATGTGTGTATTTGTATTCCCATTTTGCCTTTGGGGAATTGAGGGAGCTGCGTTTCCAGGATTTTTCAAGGGTCACAGAGTTATTTAGTATATGAGACTAAATTAGCATTGAAGTCTTCTGACTATAGATCCAGTATTCTATTTATTGCTTTACATTGTACAGTGAGAGAAGAGGAGAAAGACAGAGTAAAGGAGAGAGGGAAAAAATTGAACAAAACTTTTGGGAAGGGAGCTTTATTCAGTTAGTAAATTGTTAGTGCTGTTATTGTAATTGTTATTGTTACCAATTGTTACAATGATTAGTATAATTAATGATGACAATAAGGAGAAATCACTTAAGAAATGAATTACATTTAATTTCAAATTAATAATGTTTAATAAGGGCAGGACACATGGCCACTTTATTAAGTACAAAGGTGCTATACTTACCAATAAGAAAATATCAAAATATATCCTGACAGGAATATAGTTATTATGAAATATAATATTCTCTTCTCCATCAAAAGGCCATAG